TCCAGTAGGTCTTCAACACTTTGGTGACAGCCGACTACGTAAACAGCAACTCCCTAAGAAACCCGACACCTGTTCAAAAACAGGTGTATTCAACATTAATGATTGAAAAGGCGTGTAAAACTGTAGCAACTCCATAAATGAATATGGTGTTCCCTGGGTATGATGTGGGAGCTGTGGTGGTGTAGTGGGATATACATCAGGCTGCTAGCTTCAAGGTTAGCAGTTCAAAACCACTAGCTGTTCCACGGGAAAAAGGTAAGGCTTTCTACTCCAGTAAAGAGTTACAGCCTCAAAAATCCACAGGGGCAATTCTACTCTGTCCTGTGGGGCCACTTTGTGTCATAATTGAGCCCATGGGAGTGAAATGTGATTTGCTGAGGTGTTATGTACACCCATGAGATATGCTACAAAGAGGTAAAATAGAACTTTCTGAAGCCAGAGGGGACGGGGTGGGGACTGGTCTTTACTAGCCTCAGACAGGAATATTGAGACCTTGATCAGGCAGGACTTGATCAGTATCAGTGATGCATGCTGGTAGACCGGAAAGACTCTGTGTCCTGCCCGCCCATAGTACACACATGCATTTCCTGTCCAATTTGTACTTTAACAACCCTTCTGAGAGCGTCCCATTGCTGCCTCTCAGAACAGCTTCTGCTCCGAAAGATGATGTTCACTTGAACCTTGGTTTCCCTCCCTTGAGGCAACATTCCGGGCCAGGGAGAGATTAATTCCTCCTAGTATTTAAAGTCACGACTGGACTTCTCCTTGGGCACTAGCTTTACCAATTTTTCTTTAGATAGCTGTATTTGTACTTGCAGCAAAACTGGCCCTCTCTGGGCATCACTGGCAGCCCTGGTAAGCCACTCAGCACCAGTGAGGTCAAATGTTGCGCCCTGCTCCCAGGGCCTCTGGGCGCTCCAATTCCCTGGAGTGGCAGCAGATTCCACAAGCGACCCGTTCCAGTGAAGTGCACATTTTCTTCCTGTTGAGGACTCATTTTGTCTCCATTTTTACCCGAGGGTCTATAAAGACGCCTGAAGATTCCTCTGATTTCCCCCTCTTTTCTCCAAGCAGCCTCCTTCCCGGCTGCAGAGTTCGGCTCTGCTGCTCTCAGTCTAGCGACCTCTCCAGAAAAGCACAACTGGCACCCAGCGTACCTCAAGTCTTACAGTCCAAAGCGAGGTCACGGGTACATAAGCTAGTTACAGGACTTTGATCCAGTTCCCGGACTTACGGAAACGCAAGATTCCTAGGCAGGGAATGAACAGGGAGTAAGTTTTCTCTCTGCTTGAAAAGACTAAAGTTTACTAAATGCTCTAACATAAGTGAGTCTTTGTCCACACATTTTAGAGAGCTGATAGTCCAGTGATTTTCTGAAAAATAGACATCGATTTTGAGGACCATCTAAAGTAAACGAAGATATTAGTTCAGATAACTAAAAACTACATTGGTATTAGTTAGGAATATTAACACCTGTGTTTAAAAACATGTATGGTAAATCAATGACAGTGATAACCTATTATATACAATCTAATGTGCAGAGTGCTGAAAAATTTTGCAAGAAAAAGAAGATAATTTTCCTCTTGCCCTTAGAAAGAAGGCAAAATGCAAAATTAGGTGCAGGTAATTTGAAGTTGAATGCAAACAACAAATAAAAGAGGTAGAAATTCACCTTGAATGACTCATATCTCATTAATATATGTGGGAACATATGGTAAGAATGAGGTATTGGAATCTTTAATCAAAAAGCCAAGAAGATGTTTAAAAATAAAATTGTTTTTATTTTTAAAAATAAAGTTCACAAGTGGTTCACTAGATCTATTTTAAGCATACAGAATGAGAGAGGAAAAAAACAAAACATTCTATGCATTAAAGATTACCATTATTACAATAAAATTTCTTTTGACCACATATTTTCATTAATATACTTTCATATAAAACAGAGAGGTTGGGACAATCCAGTCCACAGGCCTTATAAGGCCTGAAAAAAAATCATCAATACCAGTTACATCACATTCCTCCCCAAAGAGAATCAGTTCCGGCCACCATATTAATTAATTAATTAATCAATCAATTAATTAAACATTTGGCCAGTATGACCTGCGAATAATGTTATAAATACTCAAATGGCCCTTGGCAGAAAAAAGATTTCCTATCCGTGAGCATGAGAGTTAACAGAATTGTCTTTACTTCTTCAGCCAACTAGCACACTTTCAAAAATCTCAAATCTTATCATAAGTAAATAATTTTATTAAACTGAAGAGCTAATAAAAATAACATTCTCTTTTCTTTTCAGTCACCTAGACTACAGTCTTTTGAAACAATTTCTATTTAAAATCTTCTGGGATATTCATATTGAATCATTTTTAAACAGATAGATCCATATTTACCCAATTCTTCTTTTCTCTTTTAGCCTAACGGCCATCACGCATTATTTCTCACAGACAGGCAGGGGGTCTGGGGCCACGTTTCTGGGGTCAGGGAAGTGGGCAGACATAACCCTAGGAACTCTCTCAAGTGAAAGGTAACAGTTCCCCCATGAAGAAACATTTATTGCTGTATGGGTGTGCTTCTTCCAAACCTCGCTTTCTATGGATCGGTCACCAGTCCTCTCTCTGGACTTGCCTTTCGCTCCAGGTCACCTTCCCTTTCCTGCTCTCTGCGCTTATATTTTAGCTCATTGCTAAATAACTGATGTCAAGACTGATAACCACCACAGCCATAATAATTGCAGCCACATTTTGGAGCATTAACTCGGTGCCAAGAATATATTTATTCATTTAGTCACCCTGCAAGGTTGATACCATTATCATAAATTCTAATGTTGCAGTTAGGGAAGCTGAGTCACAGAAAGACACAATAATGTCTCAAATGTTACAGCAATGAGTAGAAAACCCAGAATTGGGGCTGAAGTGTTTTGGCTGCACTAACCCTCTTTTCCCAAAGTTAAAAAAAAAAAAGTATTTACAGTGGACCAAACCTATGAGAAAAATTCAACGTAGGCCCCTTCTCTGTATACTGAATTATCTTCATATAAAATACAGAAATATACCATGTTGTTTATGTTTACAATCAAGTATACAGATACACAATAAAGTTCTTGTACAGAGTCTTGTCAACATACCAATACCAACCATTAACCAAGAGTCATCAGAAGTCATTCAGAGCACAAACCTTTCCCTTTTGTTGTTGTTTTCTGTTATTTCAAAATTGTTTATTTGCTTTGAACATTTTTTGCTTTGAGCGAATATTTACATAGTAAATTAGTTTCCCAATCACTAATTCATTCATAATTTTTCCCCATGAAATTGGCTGCAAACTCTGCAATTCTCCCTCTGGCCTCACTGCACGCCCAGTTTCTCTGGGTTCCTGCCCCTCCTTTCACAGCTTGAGTTTTGGACAACCTGGTCCCCCATGGCTCATCGATGGAGCACATCAGTTACAGACGTGACTAGCCAGTCTATACAATCTAAACCCAATGCCATATAGTCCATTCCAACTGAGATTGTCCATAGATAGGGTTTCTGAGACTGCAACTCTGTATGGCATCAGGCAGCCTCGTCTTTCTCCTGCAGAGCACCTGGTGGGCTTGAACTGCTGACCTTAAGGTAGCAATCCAGTGCCTAACCCACACCACCAGACGTGGCCCCCAAGGGTTTTTTCAGTTTCAAGTTAGAAGGCTGTCTCTGGAGAGCACAGGCTTACGTCCCTCCCATTTCTTTCAGATTAGTCCATCTGACTGTTTTTAAGTGTGTTGTATATCTTTTACCGTCACTAACCGTGGCCTTCTACTGTTGTCTTAGTCCACTTGGACAGCAATGATAGCCCGGAACTACCTCATGCTTCTGGTCTCGTATGGAGGAAATTGTTTAAACTACTTCGTTAGATTAATTGGCTCCTTGGGTTTTTTTATTTTATTACCCTTTGCTCCAGGGTTGAAGATATCAAGAGTTGCATCTTATATGGATGCTCCCAAGCTTCTAAGACCCCAGATGCTACTCACCAAATGAGGACATAGAGCATTAGGAACTGTATTTTTCCCACTGGACTAGATGTTCCCAGGACTATGTCCCTTAACCCTCTAAGTCCAGCATTTCAGCCCTAATGCCTGATTATTTTCTATAACAGAGCACAGCCTATGCTTTGAACCACCATGTCCTGGTGCCTGGAATGCATCACATTTTAAATATGTCATTCTTTTGAAAAATCAGTACTATTTTTTTCTGTGTAATGGCTAAGATGATGCCAATCCTGGATAAAGTCAGCCACCATTTGAGATCATTATAAATGAAAGATCCAGCTCATCTTCTGAATTAAAATGTTTGTCCTTCGTGAACAATATAAAGACATTGTGAGCTGCCTCTAAGACGCGTCTAAGATGTAATTAAAGACGTCCTTCCTCGTGCCTTCTCAATGGAGGTCAAGAACAATAGGCTGCCACTGTGGCGAGGCTAGTTGACATACAGCTGAGGCGGAGAACCTGCTTCCAGGGTGGGGCACGTGTCCCTCCCTGTGCTTTTCATCAAGGATCACGTGTCCGAAGAAGAAAGCTCTTCTGGGAAAGTGGAGGGAGCACTCCAGCTCTTCGGCGAGCCACTTCAATCCAGACAAAATGTCTCTTTGTCCACGTAAAATGCATGGATTCAAATGCCATTGTTCGCATGAAACGCTCTGAAAGCTGTATCTTTTGTTGGGGAACCCACCAAAATCACAATGATGCCTAGCCTCACAGTTGCTAAATACCAGATGGTGTGTTAGTACCGGCTCCAGTTACGGCAAAGGGAGTGGGAAGAGGTCCTTTTCTATTGATCTGCAGGGCCTGGGAAGCAGAAATCAGAGCTCAGTGTTCGTTCTGGTTCTTGAACACCTTATACAAAGTTTTATCTTCAAACGGTGAGTAAGATCTTCATAGAGTGCAGCTCAACTCTTCGAATAAAGTCTGTTGTTATGCACAGGCTCAAATGCTCAATACTCCTTATATCTAGACCTCTTTCTGATACTCAGCGTTGCTGATGGTCAGGCCTGGATAAAACAGGCAGAACTTCTGATTTGTCTATGCCTGGCTTGATGGTTTTTGCAGGCATCAAGTAACGAAGATTTTTCCAGAAGCTTGAGTTATAGGAAAGAGACTTTTCTGCCTTCCACTTCAGAACTCGATGAGATTTCAAAAGCTCTAGCGATTGGGGCAGGAACATGACATCACGAACAGGTGTGAATTCAATTAGGATTATTTTAATTTTTCTTTCCACCAGTGCCTCATGGAGTCCACTTTCAAGTTCATACCTGACTTTATTAGACATGTAACGTTCGCTTAGGACAATGATTATTCTTCGGCTCTTTTCTATCAGTGAATGGATTTCATCAACAACAGCTAAAATTTTTAAGAAATAAAATATTAATTTAAGAGAATTGGAAGGTGTGTGTTAAATGAAAATCATTTTGCACGGTCTATTTTATATTATTTATCCCAACTTTACTATTGTCTCTGTTGACAAATAATATATTTCTAATTTTATAAAGCTCTTTCAGACATCTAGATAGCAATAATACTACATGCTAACTTTGCACTTACTCTGTGCCACCCCCTCTTCCAAATACTTCATATGATTGAAGGCAGGCAAGCACAGCTAGAAGCTTGCTTTCTTACTAATTTTTACTATCTTGATTCAGGTGGCATTTCTAAGTAAGAATCCTTTTCATTTTTTGGTTTTTAATAAAACAAGTGGCCGTAGTTGAGGTTAGCGGATTAATCCTTTGTAATGACAAGATTCCCCTTTGTGTGTGATCCATCTGGAATTCCCTTTCTTACCTCCTCCAGGCAGGACATCCCTTTCAAAGATGCACAATCGATATCCAAAATGTTTTTCCAAAACACTGGGCAAAATCTCCACAGCAAAGGTGTGCTCCTCACAATTTTCCGGTCGACATTCTTTGAGGTAAGACACAAAAGCATCATAGGTCTTCCCATCTAGGAGATAGGTTTTATTCTGTTAGTTAGCGTACGGTTACAAGTGCATTTCAGTACAGAATTGAGTGGAAATCGTGATCAATGCGTCCAGAACCACGGAAAACTAGAAACCAACCATAACCTCTTGAAACCTCACAATTGCTATTCAAGCAACTGTTTAACAAAACCAGCAGAAAATGAAACACCTACTTTAAGAGCTGCCACCATAAAGAACTAGAGGGTAGCACAGAGCTAGGTCAGGTTACTACAGGCTCTTTAAAGGCAATAGAAGGTCAAGGAGCCTAAATGTATCCTCCTTTCCTGATTTAAAATAAATTGACCTTAGTTTACATGTATAATTTAACTCTGCTACTATCCCCATATTTGCCCTCAACACAATCCACTAGAAAATGGAGATGGAAATACAGTTTAGCTTTTCCACTGGAGAGGGGCAAGAAATACTAGAAGCAATTGAACCCAGATGCTGTGGGGGAAATGCTATGATGCTTGAAAACATGACATGATCCAGATGCCAATAGGACAGTTTATGGTCCCTTTAAGGATTTCCCCCACTAGAGCACTAAGAGTTACAGTCTTGGAAACCCCGCGTAGGCCTGTCCTATAGGATCTCTGACTCAATGGCACTGAGTTTGCTTCGGGTTTTCTCCGATGATGGATCAGTATTCAGATGACTTTAAGGATGATCTCAGGAGAAATATGTTACCTGAGTTAATTCTTTTAACAGAGTAACCAAACAACAACAAACATTAAACCTGTCTATCTTTTAACAGAATCAGACAAAAGCAGACACACTGAACAGCATGAAAAAGGATATAAAGAACGCGTTCGCAGAAGCAAAATAGTATAAAGAATTCAGAAACAACACTGAAACAAACAAGCAAAACCTGGTCAGAGAATAAGGTGGTCCCTTGAACATCTACCTGAAAGAAGGAAAATTAGAGTCAGGTCCTAATACAGTTGGTGCCATACTTGACAGAGAAAGAAGGGGGTGGTTGGGGAAGAACCCATTCTTATCCCAGGTCAATCATTTCAATGGTTAGAAGAATTACTGATGTTTCAATGTGTTCTTGGGATTTATGAGTTAGCTGTCGAGTTGAAGGGTAGTAGGTATTAATAAAGTCTAATGGTACCAGATTATTCTAGGTTCATTTTCTTTACATGTGTTCCTCAGATATTATTGATTTTCCAATAGCAGATGTTATTTATTTCCAATAGCAGATGTCCAGTATACATCTGAGTAGGGCTCAGACCAACATCTTCTATAGCCACCTGGTTCACTAAATACTTATTTCTGGTAAAATCTCTTAATTTAACCTCCAGGGTTCTAAAGCAAACCTTCAAATCCTAACCTATGTGGCAACAAAACTACTCCACCGCACCACACACACAGGCATAAAGCCAATTCTCCATTAACAGATTAAAAGCTGTAAATGTGAAAAAGGGATCAATGAAACTCTCATAGAGAAACTAGAACTCCTCTGGAAATTGGGATTTAGAAGGTTTTCCTATTTAGGACTCCAAATCTTGAAACTATCAAAGAAAAAATAAAAGTAACTACACTAAACAAACACACATACACACACATATATACATATCACACCACAATTAGCAAACTCAACAAACAAATATATTTGCACTTCATGAGAGAGAAAATAGAATAAACCCCTTAAAATGAAGACAGTTGCTAAAAACAAACAAGCACAGAAGATCAGTAACCCAATGGCAATGTATGAAAGGGATCTTTGAAAAAGGGGGAAACTGATAAAAAAGTAAATATTTTCTCATGTATTCGTATGCAAATTAGAACTACTGAGATATAATTTTGCACCATCAAACTACCAAATACCCCAGAGTTTGATCAATTTTTTTGTGAGTAAAGGTTATGGGGGAAAAAAGTGACTCTTATTACTCAACAATAGATTAGTACAACCTCTTTGGAGACCAAATTGGCAGTATCTATTCTGGATAGAAAGATGACGCTTTCTACTCCTGTAAAGTGTTACGTCTTGGAAACCGACAGCATTTCCATGAGTCAGAATCAACTCCTAGCAATAAACCACCTCCCCTGCCCACCTTAATTAGCCTAATATTACCAGCTCATCTGCCCATGGTATTTCCAGAAGTTCCATTTGTGAAGCAATCCCTTTCGAGATACTTTATGCACGTTAAAAAATAAATAGCACCGAGCTATTCAGTGGCTAGGGCAAAGCTACAGCATCCAAAGGCTGGAAACAGTCTAAATGTCCATTAAAATGAGACGAAGCATACAAGGAGTCATTGATGAGCTTATTCGTAACTAATATGAAAGTGTGTCTAGTGTATAGTTATTCAATTTTGATGGTTTTCACTGTATAAAAACATGAAAATTAGAGTAATTATGCTGGATTGCATTGCTTTTCATTATTCAAAAATTATTTTTAAAGATATGTGACTTCTAGTTGCCTTTAAAAATAGCGAAACTGGGGAATAGATGGACTAAACAAAAATAATAAGAAATAACAAAGGACAGATCTAGGAGAGTAGAGCCTAGATCAGTTGTCTTCTAGCTCAAAGGTTTTTCAGGTCATCGTGCAAGATCTGCTGTCAAGTTAAAATAATAAACCATAATACAGTTAAACTCAGTGTCTAAACCTTTTATTGAATATATGCACTATGTGGGGTTCCCAAAGGGCATGTGTACACAGGTATTAAGCTAAACAGTACCTGGGGTCAAGCATTTTACAGGAAATACATACAGGAAGAGACAGCATACATACAGGAAGCAATTTCGAGAACAGTTTTTGGCAACATGTAAGTAAATGCATGAAGGTAATGGTCAAAACAGATAAGACATGTAGTGCAATTTTTCCCACTGAAAACATCCCCAAATGATTAATTCAGTAATATAATCAAATAAAATGAATATCAATGCCTCCTTATTTGGTTACTTCCTGAAAACAGAAGCCCCCAGAATTATGTTACCTATTACCTGTTAATGTTTCATCTTTTCCAATGAAGCGTCTATAAAATAAAGTCAAGTCAACTCTATAAATATAACAGCCAATCACTACAAACACAACGGCCACCAAGATCAAAGAAGCTGTTATCATTCCTCGGGTGAAAATGTGGTCTGGGATATCATCAATACCGCCTAAAAAAGACAAAGAGATTGAAATAATTAGACATAAAATTAGTGTATCAAAGTCTTCCACTGCCACCCTGTCAATTGTTTAACACAAATCCACAGTCGCCTCCAGAATTTACACATGCCATGGCGATGCCCCTCATTCCCACCTGGCGTCTTGGGTAATAAACTTACTAGTCATCCTGTAAGAGTGTTTTAAAGAGTAAAGCATGCACCTTCTGACCTTTAGAGTCCCGAATGGGAAGCATTTGAATGCACTCGATTCTTGTGTGAGAGAGTGCCGCTGGTGCAACAGGCTGGAGGACAGCTGCTGGAGGCCCAGCTCCCCCAGGAGAGACGCGGTGCTCTGCTTTCCTCAAGACTCACAACCCTGGAAACTCGCTGGGGCACCTCTACCCTGTGACATGTGCTGCCTCAAAGAGGCAGAAGAGATTCTGCAGCAACGTGTTTTTATTTTTTAATTTATTTTCTACATTCCAAGGCATGACATCAGATCTCTGAGGTGATGAGACACTAGGGGAAAATACAAAGGTCCGCAAAAATAAATCTCCATGTCTGGTCTGAGAGTACAAATAGTAGAGAGAGCTGTGGACTGGGTGCGTGCATTCCCAGCCTGGTGGGATCACTCCGTGAATGCGAGGGTAAGTGCTTGCTAGGACAATGGCAGGTGACCAGTTGCCACGGTGTCAATTCTGACTCATAGGGGCTCAGGTAGATTTGAAAATATTGAAACACGATACCTATTCTCAGCTATTAACCAAGATATTATGAGGAATATTAATTAGGCAGCTGAGTTACTGTCAGAAAATGGCTCAAGACAACCTCTGGTATAATCCTTCATCTGGAAAATGAAGATAATAATTGTTTCTGCTTCATTTATAGGTTGATATCTGGGGGGGAAACTAAAGTAACTAACATAGCATGGGCACATAGCTTTTAGAATTTAATATAATTTTTGTGTAAAAGTGCCTTTTGAGGAGAAGTGAATTTCCTAGAGTGATTTGGTTTATCCTTGTTTTAGACAATATGAGGTAATAATATAGAGTCCTATAAAGAATAAAATATATTCGAACAGCCCTTCAACAATCTTGCAAGAGCCACTGTTAGCATGATGATATATTTCCTCTCTTCTTTTTTCTGTTGAAAAATTTTACTTATTGAAAATAATTACTGGTTATTCCTTTTCATTGCTTAACATTATATTATGAGCACTTTACTAGGTCATTGGGATTGTAATGCACTGTACCCCAATATTTAGATTGATTGCTGTTTTAATGAGGACTATACATAATATATAGATTTAATGACTATACATAATATATAGTATCAATGAAAAACTTTATGCATAAACTTTTCTCATCCAATATTATTCATATTTCTGATTGTTTTCTCAGACTAATTCTAGGAAGGGTATTTCTAGGTCAAAGAGGACACACATGCTAAAAGCTCTTATTATTTTAGCACCATTTTTAGGGATGATCTTTCCAGTAAAACTATTAGGATGAAAGTAAGCAATTAGGAAATAAAAGTAAGCAACTTTAGTTGTTCTAAATAAAGCCAGACAATGAGATACTTTGCATGACTGTGCCACACATGCACAGAAATGCCCTTCACCCCCAACCCCACACACACTCCTCTATGGGATAATGGCAGGTCACCCATCGTCATTAAGTCAATTGTGACTCACAGGGCCACTATAGGGTAGTGTAGAATCAAAGACATTGAAAAAGTGAAGTAGTCACACATCATCTAGGCATCTAAGGAGAACCAGTGAAGTAATTGTGTGACTGTCACAAAATGCCTCAAGCGAACTCTGGCAGTGACCTTTCTCAAAGGACACTGGGCTGTCAGTGGAGAGTGGTGCTGAACCCCTGCTGGAATCTTCCTGGGAAACCATTTCAAGAACATGGAAAAAAAAGGTGTCCTTCTCTTGTTCTCAGAATCATATTACAATCTCCATGGAGCATCCAGAGACCCAGAGCAGAGAGGGAAGAGGAGCGAAGGGGCACAGACTCCGGTGGGTCAGGATCGGGGGAAAGCAAGCAGAGCAGACGTGCTACATCCACATTTCCTACCCAGCGTATGGCATCAATTGACCGTAGAACCATGTGAATTGTGTCCCCTCACAAGAACGTGTTTCCTGATGTACGAAATGAGGAAGCAACAATCTTAAGGTGTCTTTCCCTTTGGTCTTCCAAATTCCCATACACGTTCCAAAGGAAAGCGCGTTTCTCATACCTTTCCTCACCAAGATGAAGACGTTGGTTTCTGAGCCTTCCCCGCTGATCACAGTGCAATTATATGGAAAATTCAAGTTATTTTCGTTAATATTCTCGATGGATAATACTCTTGAAGCCTGCCATTTGCCATCTGTGGTCCTGTAAGGGAGAACATGTCTTTAGCAGTCAGCTTTGCTCATTACCAGCAAAAGAACTCATGGTAACAAATCCGTATTGAAATACTCAAAAAGAACCCGAGTCTTCCAGTTTGTGGCCGGCTGCTGACCTCAAGTTTGGCTATTTGAATTCATTCAGAGAGTAGTATCGAACCTGAAAAGTCCTGTGGACTTGCCTAGATTACAGCCACAAAAACCCTAGAGAGATCAGTTCCAATCTGCTAACAGAGGGAGTCACTATGACTTGGGACCAAATTGAGAGCAAGAGAGTGAAAAAAACCTCCACATCAAGTACTACATTCTAACATGTCTTTTTGTTGGATATGTTTAAAATGCAAACGTCGTTAAGGATCCTAGTTTGGGGAACATCCAGGTTCATAATGGCAAATTGGCCAATTGTTTTCACTTCCTAGCTTGCTCATACTATCCGAGAGATCATTTGATTCTGTGAAGCCATTGGAAAGGATAGCTGTTCTCAGACAGTCACTGAGGCGTATGAGGAGTACTAGTTAAAAGATGCCTTCGTGGGTAATGGGGTTATGAAGTGGGCTTCCAACCGGCCATTCGAAACCACCAGCCACTCTCTGGGAGAAAGATGAGGCTTTGTACTCCTGGAAGCAGTCACCCTCTCAGAAATCCACAGCGGCAGTGTCACTCTGTCCTACAGTCAAATTGATGGCACTGAGTTTGTGTTTTGAATGGCAAGCATTGAGGGACTGTAAGAAAAGGTTTCAAGACAACCTCTAGTAGCGAGTACTCTTCATCTTTCTCAAAGGGCTTTAGGGTACCCTAACAATGATGTGAGGCAAATTCTACTGACACTGATTTCTCTTGGTCAGTGATAAGACTCTGAAGGTGCCGCACCAGTTAACATTGTTAAGGTGCATATACTCCAGCGATTGCATTTCTATAGTAGGTGTTTCTAAATTCCACTATAACATCTAACTGCATCAAATGCATTTTATAATAGCTAGTTTAAAATGTTTTCAAAAGATGGAGACAACCTAAGTGCCCATCAGCGATGTTACAAAATCATAGAAACTTTCCCCCAATCATATTTTTGGTATATAATTCACATATATTTTTAAAATCATTTTATTAGGGGCTCATACAACTCTTAT